CCTAAGTATAAAATTATGATCATAATAAACGGTGTACCTATTAATAAAAACTCAGTTTTGTTTCTATTACTTAATTATATTTATTAATTAGTAACAGTATAGCCTATACCTAATTGTTTAAGAATAAGTTTCTACGATTTTTGAAAAATTATGATAGGTTTAGCCTATATAATATTATGTACCAGGTATTTATAATATGCTTTATGCATTATCATAGCAGTAGCATATCCATATGAAAACCACTTTTGCAAAGACAACGTATCATAATAAAAATTCCAAGGAAACAAATCTAATATTCTACGCTGCCATGTCTAGTTTTACCTAATATTTTAAATTTAAGGTTAATATACCATTCGTTTATAAATTATTAATTTCAAATGTATATAATAGAATGGTATATATTATATAGCCATCTATTATAGGTACCTAGGTATATTAATACCTATTATACTATGAACTCATTCATTTCTTCCAAATAATAATATCAAAATCTCTTAAAATATTATTCTGTTTTAATTCAAATGTGTATTCAACACTATTTATTTATTTATTTATTATTCAATAATATTAATTACTATAAATTGTAGATATGTATAATATATTGTTTGTAGTTTCAATAATATATATTATACAAGAAATGTTACGATAGATTAACACTATATAATTAAATTGTATACAACCTTTACATATTGGTGTCTCGGTCTAATTTTATTTTGGTAACACATGATATTTTATGATTTTAATTTTCATGGTAACTATGAACTTGATCATTTTTTTTTTTTTATTTGACCGTGTCAGAGGTTGGATATTATTCAAGGACAGTACCTTCGAATTGGTTACAGATTTTTGATGTACCATTGTTATTTGTTGTTATTTCGAGCAGTTGCGATTTATAAGATCGTAGTACTTACAAGAAATTCAATTTAAACCTGTTTCACACCGTATTCACCAGGAAACCAGTTTATTCTTGTTTTATCTTTAGTTAATTATCACAAAGAATTTATATTCTCATAAATTTGATGTCTAGTTTAGCAAACGAAACCATTTAAATAGCAATAGTCTATGCCCTATAGGTTAGATAATAATACCTATAAAATCATCTAAAATCATAATTTTTAATTTTTATACATTCAAACAAAAGACTATACATTTATTATTAATGTTAAAAAATATTTACTTAAAATTCATATGTTCTTCTAAGATCACTTTTCCTGTTATAATAATAAGGCTCATAGCCAACAGTTATTTTGGAAAGAAACATAACAACTATTAACTCGTAAACAAAATACAAATATTAAAAATATTATTAAGTCTATATAAATGAATTGTGCCAAGCCAATGTTAGAAAAATTACTATCAGTGGGAATTCATCGTGACAATTGCCAAGACAGACACATATAAATTTAAACATTTTACTTTTCATAATATATAACCAATTTGTTCACTATAATATACTCAGTAACAGTAATTATTGGGTAGGTAACTTGTATTAAGAGGACGCTACACCTGATGTGTTTGTCTCCGACGACCGACTTACAAATGTGCAACATAAAAAAACTGTTTTGCTCTGGAAAAACCGAGAAGGCTACAGTCATAACTAAGAAACGAGATTTTCACCACATAAAAAAGAGAGCTTTGGCTGTGCAACATTGTTTTATTTTTTTGATATTATTTATATTAAAAAGTTTTTCAAGTTTGAAAAACACAAACAATAATGGTCTTTGAAACAGTAAGAACTTTTTCATATAGGTAAGTGATATCAAAAAAATAAAAACAACGTTGCACAGCCAAAGTTCTCCTTTTTATGTGGTGCAAATGTCGTTTCTTAGTTATGACTATAGCCTCCTCGGTTCTTTCCCGCGCAAAACAGTTTATGCCATGTTGTACATTTGTAAGACGGAGACAACACATGGTGGGTGTAGCTTTCCTCTTAATAGAATGTCAACGTACCACTTGTTTTCTCTCTCTGACCCACGCGTAACGTGGCAAATTTACGTTTAGCAGAACTGTGTTGTTATTTTTAATATTAGAGTGAATTCATCTACCATAAAACTTTAAGCTAAGAACGTTACATGTATTCTTACATGTAGTCTTTACGTTGGGCTTTTACAATATTTTAATTTATATTTTATAACCATTTTCAAATTGTAATAATTAACAATCTCATAACTTAAATAAAAATTAAAATAATCATAAAATAAGCAATAGGCAATAACTAATTTAGGGACACCACAGATAATGCTCTTAATTTTAAGTTTGATAATAGGTGAATTCACTATTAAAAGTAATAAGTAATAAGACACACATATGTCACATACACACGGTTGGTTCTGCTGAACGTAAATTTGATATGATTTAGGTACGTGACACAGAGTGAAAACAAACTGATGTACCTACTTATATAAATATATTATTGGTTTTACAAATTTACAATATTTTATTTTCTGTTACGAATCTTGACATTTTGTTTAAAAAGTTTCTTCAACTTTCATTTGATACACGTGTTAAATTGAGGATCATCAATAGGGAAACCCAGCATTTTTCATAATATGAAAAAAATACCAAAAACACAATTTTTTTCAATTGTTTGTTCAATAATAATGTTAAAATCATGAAAATTCGTAAACTAATAAATATTTTATAGTTCAAAACGATTTTAATAGTAAGTATACTAAGCTCATCATAAGATGTTTTAACAGATAATTAAAATATAATATCAAAAGTATCTTCACAAATTTTTTTTTCTCAAGTGTTGGTTGTTCAAATTTTGTAATCAAGACATTTGTTGTCTCCATCTTACAAATACATTACATACCAAATTTTACAATTTTAAAATACTCATAACTCGCTTTAAAATTAAAATATAAACGAAGCCCATGAAATCACTCAAATTTTTAAGCCAACAGAGCTAAACGTGTTCTGCCAAGTGTATAATTTGCTATGTTATACTTTTATAAGACAGAGACAATTTTGTGTAACATCCTCTTAAAGGATATTTAAGTGATAATCAATGATCAGATTTTTACTCAGATACATGTTACAAGTTATTTTGTTATCATTCAAAAACAAATACTCATAGAAACATTAAAATTCCCATCATTATTTACACAATAAAATATGTTCCAAACATATTATTAAGTTATTCATACCAAGAACATATTTTCCTATTCTATTGTACATTGGTACTGACTTATAATATTATGTGTTTTTTACAAAAATTAGTTCAACCCACCAAATTAATAAAGTGTTATTTAAGTAATTATACATATATATCTTTAGAAGTGTTGTATATGCCGATCATTAACGGCATACCCTATTAAACACACACCTGACACAATAATATTTAAATATAACACTTTGCACTTTGCCCAACAGTGTCACAGTAACTGCATTAATCGATCACCCCTGAAGGACCCACATCTTATCATGTATCTTATGTTTACTTAATTTAACTAATTACTTATTAATAATTACTAATTTACTTTAACTAATTAATAGTTTTATTATTAATAATGTTTATGTTTATATATTATACATGATACAACAGAAGTTAGTAATAGAAACTGATCCACCAATCGCATGGGCTCAGAATGATTTTTCGTATACAATAGTTTATACTAATATATATCACCAAATTAAAATTTTAACATTCATAACAGTGACCAACTCAAAGATGAAGTACAGTGCAAAATAAGTATCTAGTTATTATTACCAACAGGATCACAAAAAAAAAACATAACAAAAGATACATAATATGTATATATTATATAACAGGATCACAAAAAAAAACATAACAAAAGATACATAATTTGTATATATTATATAACATAATAAAAAAATATGAATCCAAATTCAAAATGAGTTATTTAATTCTAAAAGAATTATTTTTTAAAGCAATTAATACATCATATCTTTTAAACTTTGAAAACAATTTATTATAAACGTCAGACAATATATTAATTAATGTTAATTATAGCAAAAAAAAAAAAAAAAATCAACTGGTATTTATTTATGGAATTACAATTTTGGAAAATAAGAAAAAAAAATCAATATGAAAAATAACATAATTATTATGGATTATATATTATTGGTTATTATGAAAAAATTAAAAAAAAACTCCAAAAGTAAATCTGAACTCCAGTATCATTACAAATAAAATTATAAAATGATGGTTACAAGGAACATCTAAAAGAAACAAATAATATATTAGAATATTTTAAATATTGATGAATACATTTTTTTACTTATAAAATTATCATTCAAAGTAATCCGTATCTTATTCAAACACTTTCAGAATAACTTATTTTACTATGTATCTTTTAACAACAATATGACTATGGATTTTTTGAGATTATTGATTTCTGATCAGTAGAGAAAAGGACTGTACAATTTATTACATTTTACGTTTTAAATATTTTATAAAAATTCATTTTTGCAATATTTTTTTCTTTTTATATTTCACATAAGTTTAATGATTTGATTGAAAATATGTAATAAAAATTAATGAAATCATATTTACCGGAATGATTTACGTCAATATATCATAAGTAATATACATAAACAAATTCCAAATAAATGATATATTATTATAAGTATAACTAACTATAGCACCTACAGGTAACTTCAAGAAAAAAAATTTTGTTTTTCTATAAAAAGGTCAGATCAGTAAAAAATTAGAAAAATTTAAGTATAGGTTAATTCTCTTCTAATGTAATATTTAAAATTAATACATATAGTACCAAAATAATTCTCATAATATGGTAATATTGCAGAACATTAATCCCCAATTAAAGAAATATTTCAACTGAATTGTATAAAACACCAATCTTTGGATTTATAACTAATTTTATACAATTTATATAATAATTTTCAAGTTCAGTTATTTTGATGTACAATAAACAAAGCCAATACTTAGTTAGTAAATAAGAAATAAGAACGAACCCACCCTAAACAAATTATTACCTCCTTAAGTAAAATTATTACTTTTATATGTGTCCAATTTATTGTTTAATATTCAATCCGTTTGTTTTTTCATTGCTACAGTTTTCAGGTGATGGAGTAAACAATGTAAATTCTGTTTTTTCTTTTTTCCAATCTTCTAAGGTCAATATTTTGTCTTTATCTTCATTACTTAATGTAGGGGTTACATTTGATTCCTGAATTGTTTTACTTTTTAGTTATATTTATGATATCATATAAATATATAATTTTACTTTTAAATATAAATACATTTGTATAATAAACAAACATTATATTATATAAATTATAATTAACAAAGAAAAACTAATTAATTGTGCTTACCAGAGTTGTAGGAAATTCAGTACCAGAAAATGTGTTGTTTGTCCAGTTACAAACATTTTCATTCATCTCCATTTTTTCAATTTTATTATTATAATTGACAGTATTGGCCAAATACAAATTTATATCGTTCAAAGTATTAGTAATATATGATGGAGGAGAGAAATATGTAGTGCCTGAACTATCCATATAACCTACATTTATTTTATTTTCAGATGAAGTTGTGTCTGACTTATTTTGTTCATTTGCCTGGGAGTTTACCTAAAATAATTGTTTTTGTTATTAATTTTTAAGTTTGTTTATTTTTCATAAATAAATAATTCTTATAATGAATACTTTGAGAAAAAGATCAAACAATTCCTTTATTTTATCGACGAGATTTTGAATAGTATCCTCTTGTTGACCAATAATAGCTTTCATGTAAACTTCTTTGGACATATTTAGCGACTTATTAATGGACAATGGGCATTCATCTGGTAGAGGAGAGATTTGGTTTTTTTCCGGGAATTCTCTAACAACTGAAAACTAAACCATACAAATTAGATTTATTTATATTTAATTTTATAATGAAAAATGGTTTTTATATTTACTCATAATAACTGTTCTGTACAAAATTAAATTTAAATTTACCTCTTGATCATGAGCCCAAAATGTTATCCTGCCGTCATTAACTAAGCCATCAACTAAATCATCAATGAATTTTTGAATATTTTGCTTTTGTTGTGAAATGGCTGTACTTAATTTGAATTGTTTATTAATTACTTCTAATGTATCAACCAAATCTTTTTCGAATGCCAGTAAACGTTGTTCCATCACTTCATTATTTGTTGTTAAATCTTGAATCTAATTGAATAAATTTGGTTAAATTGTTTTTCTTGATATAATTAATATTTAATATCTATACTTTTGCAAGGTATGCACTTTCAAGTGCTGAAAAGTTGGTTGATGCATTGCATTTATGACATTTATTTGTTGACCATTGTTTAGGTTTTAATTTTTCACTTTTTGCTACACTATTTTGAGATTGAGGTCGGTTTTTATAAAATGCACGTGGTGTTGGTGATTGTCTACGTAGTGGTTTGTTGCGGCTAGAGGCTGACTGATGAAATAATTATACAAAATAATTGCATACAATTTTAGCAATAATATTTTTGATGTACATGGTTAAGTTAGATATATATAATATACATAATGTGTATGTAAATTGAATTACCTTATATTATTAATTATTATAATTAATTTTATTTATACATTTCAGATGATACATTGAAACGTGAAAGAATCTAATAAAATGGACTTTTTAAACAATCTTGAAGGAATAGTAACTAAAAATGGGGACATGGTAACATTTATAGCTGAAGACTTGGAAAGCAAACTTAAACAGACCAGCCCAACAATGCCTACCAGACCTTTAGGAAGATTTGTTTTAGACGCCAATTTACTAAATGACCTTGAGTTTGAAGCCAGAAATATTGCTGCATCTGTAGATACATTATCTGAATCTCTCTCAGGTGTTTTACATAGCATGTCGGCATTAACTGTTGACTGTTTGGAAATATACAGGGATGTGGTTTGTAAGACATGTGATTCAATTGATGCTAATATTAAATCAATGTATCAATTAATGGCTAAATGCGAAGAAGTGTCAAAAGAAATGGAACCTATCTATAAATTGTCTCAACAAGTTAAAGATATAAAGCACATTTTAGATTTATTTGAGAATGCAGTGAATTGATATCGTATTTGTAATAAAATATATATTTAACAATTATTCTGAATCATTGCTAAGAATTTTTATTTAATATGTACAATTTCAATAACAAATTGTCACAGTTATAACTCATATTAAAACTCTGATTATCCATGTATGATGTATATTATATATATTATAATATATAATTAAACTAACTACTTGTGGCTTTAAAATATTTTTTTTTTTTTTTTTATGTTAAGATACAAATACTTACAGATAATTGACTTTGCTTGGAATTTTCTTTAGTTTCATTTTGTATTGATGAATGAATACAGTTGCAAGTTCCAGATTGATGAAGAAATATAAAGTATTCACTTCTACCTAATATCTATTAATACTTAATATTAATTAAATACAAATCAAATGCATTATTATTGTTTATCATTTATCATTATATCTTACCTCTAAATGTTGGCTAATATACATTAATTGATAATGTTTCTCACACTCAACGACACCTTGGAAACACTTTTTCTCCATGATAACTGATTTAATTGCTAAATTTGCTACATCGCAATCACTATCAATAGTTTTAAAAGCAACTTGTTCATCTACTCCAGACCACCCTTTAGGTATTAATGCTATCCAATCTTTAGGGGATACATTTATAAGAGCCTAAAATAATAGTTGAGAATGTATAACTTTTCAATAAATTTTAACCAGAACTTACTTCTTGTTCCACATTATAGTCAACCACTAAATCATTGTCTATGAAGTAACTTTGATGTACAAAAATCTTGACTATTTGTTCCATATTGTCTATAATTAAAATAATAATAATTACAAAAAATATAGGTAGGTACCTGGTACACACTACACAATAATCAGTTAATAAGTTAGTAAATTGGGGGGAGGGGCTAAGCACCCTAACAAAATAAAAAAAAAAACATTTTTTACAAATAATGTTTAACCCATTCCTCCCTTGATGATAATATTTCATATTTGCTCCACTGCCAGTAATAAATAGTAACAATTAGTTTGAGTAATTTTTATATCATTAACAAATACCTCTAGAGACATAGATGCAAAGTGTGTTTGAGATTTGGGAGTCTGAAGATTTTGATGTAGCGATGAAATTGTTTTCATATACCTATTTCAATGTGGTACAAACAATTCAGGTTTCTTAAGGGAGGGGGGAGGGTAAATCCTCCAAAATTGTTTAACTAGAATTAAAAATTATTTGTAGAAATAATTATTTTACTTAGGTACTTCTGTGAAAAATTGAATAAGGTATTAAGTGTTGAAATAATTCAATAAAATTAAATTAGGATAGTGAGTTGACACAATTTAAATATTTATTTTAGTCAGACCCTTTGGTTCCTAAATTTCAACTAAAAAAGAACCAGCATGTTAAAAATAACCATTATTAATATTACAATTACATTTTTGATATCTCTATTGAACAAAAAAAGTAATATTATACTTTGTGTATTTACATGCTCCACATAACAAATAAATATGAAATTGTCATGACTAAAGTAATACATTATATTATTATTATTAATCATTATGAACTACTTAGAACACTAATAAATAAGTATTAACATGGATATACAGAATACAATTTCTACTTAATATTATCTGTTGTGCAATATTATTAAATAATGCAGGTATAAATAATAAATATTTATTTTAGAATTATATCCCTACCTATATACTTTTAGCAAAAATATGGTTTTGGGCTGGGTATAAATATTTTTCATTTCAAACTGATTTTACGTAACGCTTTGTTTATCATCATGGAAAGAATAAAATGTAAAAATTACCTAATATCTATTACTGGTTACTTATTAATACATATACTACAAGTGGAAAATATTGAGTAGTGTGCTACATTTGTCATAATTTATTATGTTTTTTTTTATTTCAACTGTCATGTTCATTTATAAAACAGTTTAAAATTGTCAAGGTACAAAATATGTTGGTACTTTTCATTCATTGCAACTAGGTCTCTATTTATGATTTTCCAATCACAATTTAGTAAACGTGACTACCCAAAAACAGCTCAACATATATGTCATTAATTAGCTTTATGTGGCTTCAAACAAGTATTCATCTATTTATTGGAATTCTCGCATGCTTAGTATAGAATTTTCCACCTTGGGTTAAATGTTAAGTTTCTATTGGTAGGTACCTAATACATTACATTTTTATACTAAGTGGTGTTAGTTTAACTACTTTTTTTTGGTTGAGTACAACATTTTATATTTTATCAACTGTTGAATTATATAAATAGGTATACTGTTTTACTATGAGACATATAAACCGCTAATTATGTAATTTACATATTTTATATTTTAAACATTATACATATTAGTTATTATTGATATGATTAAATTGTAATACAATCATGTTTAGCAACTTTATGTTTAACTCATATATTTGTATAATTGGTTTTGACAAATGAAGACATAATACTCTGTAATATAGTGTTCAAATTTGATAGTCGCAATAATTGAATAGCAAATAGTGACAACCGAAACGTACCCACATTTTGATGAAATTAGAGACATAGATGTGAGCAATGTAATAAATAAAATATTATATTTAGAATGAAATAAACAAGAAGTTATAGCTAATATATAGGTAACTAAGACAATATAGGTATAGTAAGAACTTAATTATTTTAATGAAAAAACCATCAAAAGATTCTTAAAACAATAATTAAGTATACCTATTACCTACTTATAGGCTATAACATATAATTAATAAGTTTTTTTAGTTTACACACTTACTAATATACTATTAAGAATAAAAATATAATGAGTTTGATTAATTTTTATGGCGTGCAGCATAATAAATAATTACTAGTTATTTCTAATGATATTAACTATTGAAAACAGGTAAAAAAGAATATATATTTTTTTGTCAATTAACCAATTGTAAGAAGAATACTAAGAATTCGTATATGTACCTAGGTACCTAAGTAATAAATTACAGTATCCGTGAATGCAGTTGAAGCGGACTTTGATGTACCTAGAATAAGTAAAAACCTAAGCATCATGCATTTATGCAATAGGTACCTATATTTAATAATTACCAAGACATTACACTAAATACCGACATTGCATAGTCACAGAGGTTAATGGTATCAATAGCTTAAAATAAGTGTAAATATATTGAATATTTCTTTGTGCAGAGAAATTAATATTAGTATAAGTTATAATTGTTACAGTGGCGTATCTACGGGGGGATATGGGGGTTATATCCTCCCCGGGGCCCAAATTTTTTACACAATACAACTTGTACATAATAATATGAATATATTGTGTATACTAAATGTCTATTAAAAATTGTATATCCCCCCCCAACACTTGAAAAAATCCTACTGCTACCGGTTATAAAGTGATAATAGACTATTCGTTTTTATATATAATTATATTGTGGTGTACTTACTGAGTAAAAGTATAAGTGAACGACAAAAAACCGCAAGCAGACAAACGAAAATGACGATTGAAAAAATGGCAAATACCAAATACTAATGTGTCACCGACCACCGTCCGACCGTCGACATCTAGAAACATAGAGCAAACATAATATTTTGATACAATCGATTATCTGGTAATCAGATTATCGTAATATTCTATTTAGCCGAATACAATTACTGTACAAACCATAGGGACATAGTTTCGTAAAAACTAGATACCTAGAATCGAAATTCTATAATATTCTGATTTCTGCATTTCTGCGTAATTTTCATAATTCTATTAATTAAATTATTTATTTATAGGTGTATCGCCATTAACGTACAACATAATGGCCTTTGTTCAACAGTCACCGGATAATTCACCGTTGAACAGGTGGCCCAAAGACAATGTGTAATTGTGAATTTATTAATCTCTTCTTGCGTTCCCGCATTTTTTGAGATTTTCAAACGATGTCAAGAAGGCGGGATCTTTTATACAATATATTATATAATAAAAATAATATGCTTTTAAATATATTACCGAAGGTGGGCAATATGCATTAATTATTTTATGTGAGTTAAATTAATATTTTTCATATTAACTTTAGACTTGGTTATTCGTTTTTGAATTACAACAAAATAAAAAATCGCTACATGAGAAATCTAGTGAATATCCAATGTTGTAGAAAATTTGAAGTTAAAATGCTCGTAAAAATGTAATTTGACTTTCCAATTGAATAATAATATTACATAGCCATAGTTGTGGACCACAACACTTGTGGATATGTAAGACCAATTAAAAGTAAAGATTATATTTTTGCTTAGCGCAAAATAAGTTATAGTCAGGTCAAAATACAATCTTGATACATTTTAGGTAGATATATACTTAATATGTATATATTATTATATATATATATTTAATTGTTTGTGGTTTTGTCGTCTTTGAAATAAAATATTATATTAGTATATTACCTATATTTTGTCAGGTATTTATTATTTCAATGTGCAGGTACCTAGGTGTAATTTTTTTTTTTTGATCCCCCTCCCCCCACCCTCTCAACTACAAAAAATTTGTATAGGTACGCGTTATAGTATTAATGCCCTATAGTATAAACTATAAGGTAACGGATATCAAATTCTAATTTACTTTGTTTAGCCCTTCCCCCATTGAAAAATCCTAAGTACACCTCTAATAGGTAGGTATAGGTACCGCTTATACCTGAATATTGATTATATCTATCGGCTATCTTAGGTTTTAAACTGTTAACTTTATACGAAATTACGAACAGATAGTTATCGGAACAGGTATCTATTAATGCAATAATGATAATATTATACAATCTAAGAAGAAAATTCAGTGTTTAAATCTTTAATAATTACCTATCATTCTATGACTAAGCAGTAGGGCTACCCAACGTATTCAAGGTGCATGGCCGTGAAATTTCCATTTGCCGTGTCATCGATGGACGACTCCGACATTCACCGGTCTTTAACTTAGAATTTGGATATTAATTTTGTGCTTGTTAATTTGTTGACTCGCAACTGATAATTTCGAGAAACATTAATGATTAATAATTATTATGGTAAATTCCTATTTCGTATTTCCTCTATAACATGTTGCACATTATAATTATAATTTTTAATTATCAACTAATATAAATAAAAGTATACGCAAATGAATCGCGGACATTTAACTCCCAACTGTTTTCGGTGTAGTAGAACATTCCCCCCCCCACCACTATATCTATATGTATATTTTTGATGCGGACATTTTCCCTCCATATTTTTTAAAGATTACGATTTAATAATATTATTTTATTATATGAAATTATTATTATGTTTATTATCTAATACTGTCCAATATATTCATAAATATAATAAATTATAGATGTATATTTTTGATCAACTGAACTACTTGAATCAAATTTAAAAGTAATTATTAAATTGCTAAATATCCAATCTGGTAGTCTTAACAAAAAAAAAAATGAGCAAATAGGCTAGAAAATATGTGTTTAGAAATAACAAAAGAATCAGTAATCAAAATGTATCAATTTTATGTCGGAATTTTTAGTCATTTCTTTTAATTCTTAATTATATTTTATTTTATTTTTTATTTGTATTGTTTGAAGTAGTTCAGTGGATCAAACATATACATTTATAATCTATTATATTTATGAAAAAAAATGTTTATAATATACCTATTTTAAATTTTATTTAAAAAAAAATAATTTCATATTAAATAATAAATAATATTGTACAGTCGATTCCACTTAATAGAGACACCTGTTATTAAGCAACCGGTGTGTCCTAATAAAGACAGTGTAATCGATTCTATTATTAGTCAATAA